CTTCTTTCTTAGTGTAATTAATTATGGGAAGGTTTCCTAAGTTGAAGAAAGAGTGAAAATTAATTTTTGATCTAACACCTATATAGATAAAACCTAGATTTCAGATCAGTGCAGCAATTATGGGACAAGCCTGACCCAGAAACACGACGGTTCTAGCTCTTCATATTATCGATTCCACTTCTTTCAACTTTTTTCTTCTTAGATAAACTTCTGACACTCATATCGACGTGTTCTCGTCTTTCATACGAATTAATCTCAACTCTTTAATTTTTCTAGTCTTTCCTGACTGCGCTCATCCTCAACGACATATCTAGATCGCTATTGGTGCTTTATACAATGTGTCAAATAATATTTGCATATCTTATTGTCAAAGTACTATACTGTTGAATTTGATTTTATAGCTATTTATTGTACTTACGGATGGTTGGCATTAAGGGAATGAAGATTTTTCAAATTTCTTTGTCGTGCGATCATGTTATAAGTATATGAGTTGCGGTCGACACATCTGTGGTGACCTGATGATTTACACGGCTTCGAGTTTCGAAACAAAGACGCTTGTAAATGGCAAGCCGTAAATCAGATCGCCGTCGAGCTGGGACCATTTATTGCCCCAGCTCGCATCCAGACGAACAGCCATCGCCAGTGGCACACCCGCCAAATCCTTTCTCGTCTGCGCTTTCGTTGTCCACTTGTCCCATCTCATTATTATGTCTGCTGTATACTCAGGAAACATCGTTTGCATATTTCTATATTTCTTTCCTCCGCTTTGTCCTGTAGTGTAGTACATTTTCCAAAGCAATTGGGTTCATTCCCAAAATAAATTTTGCATTTGAAGTCACTTCATTGTTTATTCATGAAGGCTACTATAATTCACTTTCATGCTTACTTTATGTTCAATAAGAGACCAAACCTTTTTAAAGATCCTGAAACTCTCTTCTTGAGCCCATCTCTGGAAGGTCTGGTGATATTTTGAAAGCTCTAAATTGGTGAAGTATCCTATGTACTAGTTCACAAAACAATAGCTTAGTTGATCTACAAATGGGAGGGACCTGAGTGAGTAGAAAGGAAAACGCTTAACTTCGAACTGCAGGGTCTTTGACCTTTTCACCATCCTTTACTTTTTCAACTGGCCTACGACTAGACTATCTTTCGCGAAGCATAAGAGTGTAATTTGTCGGCAAATGTTCAGCTTCGTACTGCTAAATTTCCTACCTTTCCATTATATTCTCAGAAATTTCTTACTGATTGTTTACCGAGCTATTGTCTTAGTGAGAAACATGCATTTGTGAGCGTTGAAACAATCATCCTGTATGCTATTTATCCCAACTCGCCATCTAAATTTTCAAATTTTTTAAAACTCTTCTGATTTTAATAAAATTCCGACTTTTTAAAGAAATTCAGATGTCAGTCAAATTAAACTTACTATCATTCACCGAACGAAAAAATAAACTTAGTAGTACAGAAGAGTTTTGAGTAATTGATGTTAGTTTTAAGAGTGTATTAAAGGTGCTCATGTTATATTGCTAAATATAGCAAGATCTGCACATAATGCTGTTCTGTAGGAATGCAGATGATCCGTGTGTAGATCAGAAAGGCCTTATAATTACTTACTTCATGAGCAACTCTAATTAAATCTTGATTATC